CTCGCCCTCGCATCATAAAACAAGGCGTTTGTAGATTATCATCGACACAAGTGAAACGAAGATTTTTTTTTAGGAACAGAAAGAGCAATGTTTTTCCCCCTCTTCCATTATTACGGGTAAAAAATCTCATTTTACAATGTTAATAAGTTACTTGGAGGTTATTGTAATTTGTCACCCTTTCACTGTCACCTTTTCAGCATAATATTTCTGCTTTTACCGACATCTTTCGAGTTTTATTTACTGGACACAAAGTAGATATGTCGATGGTTTTGCTCATTTGTTGTTGTTGGGTTCTTGTTATTGTTGATGTAAAATTTCCCCTTTCTCCACAACTGATGGACCGATCAATTTCAGATTCAAAGATATAAGTAACCTCTATGGAAGGTTGAAATTTTTGCGAATTTCCTCTGTATTATATTAATATCAACATTTCACCTAAATCGTTACTGTTTTTGCCAACTAGTCCGCATTTTTTCGGTATCTGATGTTCAGCTTAGATTTTACTGATGCCGACGTGAGTGAATTGCTACAGTGCAGGGAGTTGAATTATTACTGATTCGAAACACCAGATACATAATTTTAGTATAGTTACAGTCTGCCTGGTTCTGCTACGGATCTTTGGAGCTTTATGTCCATTAATGTCAGCATTTCATTGCCATTCACCGTTTAAATGAAATGTAATTATGTGGAAAATATGCTCTACATTTTATGGTCATTTTAAAAATAGTATCTCTTTGCGGTATAGTGCCTTGTCCATGTTCTTGTTCGGATCATTTAATTATTATTAGTTATACACTGGGCATGGCGGTATGCACATTGGATAAAGTTCATGGCGGTGTATAAGCTAATGAATATGTTTTCAAAATTACACATATATATTCATATATATATATATATGCTCAAGGCGTTAATTGAGGGCAATATGGCGGAAGTTACAGAGAGCAAACTATGGGCCTGTTTTGTTCAAGCTATAGTGAGTTTCAACATATTAAATTTTAAGTGCATTTCGAGTCACGCTCCATTGCATTTATTTTGTTTGTTTGGACCTCAATGTACAATTTTCTGTTTACAAAACAAAAATTATCGAAATTGAACGATAGGATTGGTGATTGCCAAGGATTGACCACTTACATGATGAAGATTTTTAGTCGAATCGTTGTCGCCTTATTATTTTTTTGTTCATTCAGGCAGTTGCATTGCTTAAAGGTTAGTATTGATTTTTAGTTTTTTTTTTAATAAATAGAAAGCTAATATTTTTTCAAAATAGTAAAAGACAACTTGCTGACAGTCAAAGTTATCAAAGAATGATGTAAAATAAGCTGGTGTGTTATCGGAGAATAATGAACAGGTCTTTTCCCAACACAATATCGCAAGAATTGGAAACGCTATTGCCAGAAAAGTTGCAGCCACAACTGTTAAGCCTGAAGATTTATAAATCATATCAACGAGTCAATAAAATAGTCAAGTTAGAAGGAATTCTTTATGCGGAAAATTTTTACGTATATATATCAAGTCTAAACATCTGAAAGAAAAAAACTGACTAACTAATCCCATACCCGATATGGACGCGTTACCAGACAATAAGCCGTAGTACGTCACAGGAATAAGCCGACCCATTGCCTTTCCTCTCCTCCGGAATAGATATGTAAATCCTATCTTTTACAGTATGTTGACGGGCAGTAATCTTTCGACGAATAGAATCAAACGTGTCGGTGAGTGAGTATTTCATCATTTTCATTTAATTATTTCAACAGGGGAAAAATGTATGGTGCCTATGCTGTATGAAAACGCATTGGTTTGGCGAGGAAACTCAACTTGCAAAGCGGTGAGTTTTCTAACGTCACCTTTGTAAGAAACACTTTGTGAAAATTCAGAAGCTTTCCTGTGGAGACGCCGTGGCAAGGGCGTTAACGCTTTGGTGCAATCTATACAGACCCATTTAAAAACATATTTGTGATGTCAATGACGATAGCTAAACTGATGATGTTTTTCTAAACTGGTCGTTAAACACACAATTACCCGCTTTTATGATAATATTGAGGGCTGTGAAATTGGGTTCAATTTACAGTCTACTCCGATTCGCTGCTCCGGATTGAAAAAAACGACTCCGCCTTATGACTTTAGGTAAAGAACAACGTTTAATAAGACATCGACTAATGCAAGTAAATGAATTTGACTCAGACTTCAGCTACGAACTCCGAGAAACTCACATTTGATACCAAAAACTCTAGCGTATGCCTTCTTCCATTATTAGACTATTAAGAACGCTTAGAAAGCATGCTGTTGTTTAACCTTTTGTAGAAAACTTTGACTTCTTTTTTCATAATTCTTAGTTCAAAATTTTGACTTCGACGAGCTTGGAAGTATGACTTCTCAGACAGTGAAAACATGCCAAACTTCAAAAATACAAAGCATTAGAGATTAGAGTTTATAATTCGTCTGTCTCATAAACTCTGCTTCGCCATAAATAAATTTAAAAAACGATCATTTGAATTGTTACAGGATGAAGCCTATAATCGCGTGATTCAAATATTAGAAGGTTAGTAGTATAAAGAATATTTGAATTGAACATTTATCAAATGCACTTACTGATTTATCTCGGGAGATTAGGTAAAGAACGAATTAGTTAGAAATTGTGACTTTTTAACCGTATCGTATAATTATCAATTAGACTAACGCATTTGGACTAATACTACTAACAAATGCTAGTCTGAATAAGAAATAACTTTGATTTACGTGCTTCAGATAGAATAAAACAATTGGGCACAAAAGTAACTGATCTACAACATAAGATGGTGCAATATTCGCCCAACAGTTTCTCCACTAAACAACTGATTGAATCGAGCGCTGCCTCAGCTTTCTTGTCGGCTGCATCTACAGACTCCTTGGGGACAATCACCGTTAGAAAAATTGCAGCACAGTTTGAAATCAGAACAATGAAGGGTAAATCCGACAAATTTAAAGTTTGAATAATTTGTATGAATAAAAATAAACCTGCAGTAGATCTTAGTCATTCAAAACCTACCCCACGCGGATAAAAAGTGTCATAAACAGAATAATTTTTGTAGTTTCCAGTTTTTTTCAGTTTAAAAAAAAAACTCTTTTAGGACACTCTGATATTTGGTCGTTTTTGGGTGTCACGGTGGGTTAAACATGACTTCGGACCTCAGTACCTAAATGATACCCCAACATGGTTAAACAGCAATATCATATTTTTTGAGCTAATAGGTAGACTATGTCGAATGTCACTTTAGGATCTAGTAGTTTGCGTTATCCAATCCCACATAAAAAAAATTGTAACATTAAGTTCATTGCTAATATAATCTAATAAACTATCCATGGTGTATCTATCAAAATGATATATTGAGTCACAGTTTTCAAGCAAATTTGCTAAATTTGAGATCGCGACCCTTCAACTAAATGTGACTGACACTGTGTTTTTTTGAAAAAAATCATATCACGACTGAAATTTTAACTGTGAACCCCAAGAAATAGGAAATAAGAGGTCCAATAAAGTGACTTCAATAAAAAAGAGTCAGAATTTACTGAGACGTCAGTGCTATATGCCAATTCCCTTTTCTCTGACCATATACTCCAAAATTGTGATAACAGGTATTTATGACATTAATTTCAATTCGCGTTGTTTCAAAGTGATTGCCTTTGGTGAGGTAAATGTCACTTTCTATAATGCTGAATCAATCTGCAACGACAGTTTAGCATTAGAATATGACGCTACATTTTAGCTTATGCTGATCCCTGTCCTACGTTTACTGATTCCTGCTGGCGAAAATGTTATTGATGTTTGGACGAGACTTGAAGTTGAAGTAAGTGTGGTTATTTTTCTTTGTTTTGACAGGGCAGCGTATAAGTTAAATTCATGTGTTGTCATATGATAGTTGAATTTACATAAGGAACAAAAAGGGCGGAAGTTTCAAAGCAATGCCTAATGCACCACACGTAGCTACGAAGACAAAATTGTGTTCGCCGTTCAACATTGTTGACTTTATAATGACTTAAAACTTAGCAGGCTATGAGAGAATAATCACAAACAATTTCGTGACTACACTATTATTCTGATTATTTGGTTTCTGCGAGACTAACTACTTATCCTTCTATGCTTTTGTGTCGGTGGATCCGTATGCATATATTGCAAGGATGCTGTAGCAAAGAGTAGAGATAACAATCCCAAGTGATTCAAGAGTCTTGCTGCACACTAACACAAATATATTTCTGTAATGTTTCGTCTGACCAAGGTCAGACTTCTTCAGACATACATAGTTCAACTATTGATATTATACTTCTTCAGACATACATAGTTCAAAGTTGAACTATGTATGTCTGAAGAAGTCTGACCTTGGTCAGACGAAACGTTACAGAAATATATTTGTGTTAGTGTGCAGCAAGACTCTTGAATCACTTAGTACACTATTATTCTTCCCATTCTGACTTGACAACTCTGTTCACATCTTTACGCTTCTTACTTGGGGACATATCACGAAACTGAGGTATGGTAACTGAGACTAACTCCAATCACGCTACAATTTTAATTGATGTAAACTTCCTCTACCGCTTAATGAATTAAAAAAATAACTTTCACATTATAGTTTCTTTTAGGATAATAATGAATACTAGCGAGAAGAGCAGCAAAAAAACTTTGACGAGCCGCGGTTTGCCCACCGTTGAGTTAGGCCATCAGTTGGTAATGAGTATTTCGTAATGAAATTAGATCTTCACATTTATGAAAAATATAATCACATATTTTGTTTCATTAGAACGGTCAACTTGTGATGCCGCCTGGAGGAAACGCGACTGTGCTAGCTGATCAGTGGTATCCGAGCTATCCTTGGTTGGATGGATGCGGTATGTACTAATGTAGCTTTCGAAGCCCACGTAAATCCAGATCCAAATAATCAGGGTCTTTACAACTCCACACCATCGGTTAAAGTGAGCGGTGCCATATGTGAACTATAAAACTGGGTTGTTTTGTCAATTGTTGGTACGTTGCAAAAAAGAACACAAGTGATGTATATACTAAAGCGATTTTATTCCTTTTAGATTATTTTCGTATTGATGACTGTATGTATTTTGGTTGACAAAATATTAAATATCTCTCTCTCTTATGAATTTCATCACATAAATATATATATAATATCAACATGAACTGTTATTGGAAAATATTCCTTCAGAGTTAAAACTCAAAATCATTGAAAAAGTCAACGATTTCGACCGCGATTATTATAATCTGGGAAATCACTGCTAAAAAACAAAAGGTCAATGCTCAAATATATCGATACGAGGCCAAAACCAAATAGCATAATTTTTTTTGCAGTACGGGTAGCCTGGCCACCAGAACACTAAGCTGTGATCACGGAACCACGACACGGAATTTTCAAATATATAAATTCCCTGTACATTTTCAATAAAGTCTTAATAGTCTTTTGCTTTCATAATAGTCTAATTAGAAATTAAATATTTGTTAATATAGAATCATTTTAAAATTTCAACCAACTAATTTATCGCACCACTAAATGTTTCAATAGAAACATAGTTCTTGATCGAGGTTTGTGCAAAAAGCGTTATCAAAAAACGGAAACGAACTCTCAGATAAAATCCGCTAACAAATATCTTCATATGCCTCAACTTCATAAACTACTGCCTCTGGTGCCGATGAAATTGGTCGTTCATATCCTGAGTATGCAATCTCATAATGTTGTGATTGTGCTTCAATATTATCATATGTGATTTGTGGTATCTCCGATCCATTTTGATGATTTCCAACTAAAAATATATATATTCGTCGAAAAGAGATTTTGTGATCTCAAGCTGTTTCGAAAAATGCAAACATTCCTATAGCAAAAAAACATTTCTGAAGCAAAAAACAAAAAAAAAACCGACGCTCCCTCATTTGCTATGAATGTGTCATTCGCCAACACTGGCGTTCCGCCAATGAATAACTTAATCTGGAAGAGGATCTGGGCTCAGGCATAGAGAGATTTATTATTTTGTCAACCAAAATACATATAGTCATCAATACGAAAAAAATTGCTTCGTTATGAACAGGAGGGAGCGATACGACCAGATAACCAATGGCAAAGTTATAGTCAAATATTACTTTTACAATTTTTTCTAACAAAATCAGGTTTTATGAATAAATATTTTTTACTCGTATTTTTATTTTAAAATGATTTGATTTCTTGAGCGCTGAAGTATTGCCATCTTTATTCATTCTGTTCAATTCTTACCGTAGTTCAAATATGAATTTCCATTGAATTCAGTATCATCATATTTACAATTAGAACCTTCCTCGATCACTTTTGCTGTTTTTCTATAAAAACAGCGCATATTTTAGAGAATTTTTACTAAAATTTACAATATATTTTATAATATGATGTGATAAAATACGCTAGCTATTATGCTAGGTACGGAAAGTGTAGTACGTCAGTCCTGGAACAATAACCTAATTGATTTGAAAACTCATCGTGAACTTTGGCGACTGATTCAAAGCACGATGAAGTCATAAACATTTGAGGCCTTCTATTAAAATTCAGAAATTTTAAATTCCCCAGACATGGAGGGTTTTTGCGTTATTGTATAGAAGTAAAATTAAATAATGTCACAAAACAAGATGCTCACGTGTTTATGGATAGGTCAATTTGAGGACTCTTATTTGTAATTTATTTGTATTCCTCAATTTTGTAATTTCATATTCAGTAACGCATTTTTGAACAATTTGACGTTAAATCAGATACCTAAACTTGTGTATGAATCACTCTAGGTCTAGGCCAGATTCAAGTAATTGGGTGATGCCGCGGGCCGCACCCTTATTTGAGATATCCTTTCTAGTAGTTTCAGAAACAAAAAAATGTTTTATTTTTTTTATTCATCTTATGGTATGTTAGGAGTCCTTGCAGAAATGATAAGTTAAAACGCAAAATTTCTAAGGAAAACTGCGACTCAAATTTATTGCCACACCGGCTTTAGACAAATTCAGTGAGAAACAAGTTTTTATAACATTGTGTATTTTGCAACAGAATTTAACTAGCTAGTTTTGCTAATATGACAGTGGCACTGAAGACTATATATGATTTGCGGCGCAAAGAGATTGGAATTGCTCGCACGTACCAGATTAACTAAACTAAAACCTCGTTTCGCGGGCACACCATTCAAAATTGGCACTTTTCCGCGGGCCGCACAATATTTCCTTGCGGGCCGCAGTTTGCACACCCCTGGTCTAGGGTATGACAGACATGGCTCGTTCCTTAGGCCCCGTTTGGATAAGGGCGCAAAGAGTACAGCAACTTTCAATTGTAAAATGTTATTAAAGGATTTCATTCGAAAATAATTGAAACTCAATTACCCCAATTCAACAACAGTCTTTAAAGATTGTCAGTCAACGCTCAAGGGGGAGCATTTTTAACTTTGCCATGGGCGTCATTTTACGTAGTACGTCACTGATTGAAAGTATTACGTTACCTGCATTTCTGACAAGCCATGATCACTGCAAATATCAGGAACGGCAATGGAATTGCCATTCCTATCAGAAGACTTGTTAAATGAAACGAACATCCAATTGTGATTTGATCTGGTACGGGTTGATTTGATGTAGTCATAGTTGACGCTCTTTCCGATTCTGGCAATTTAACCTGCGCCGTATCCATCCCAATCCTGCCTGCTTGTGTAAAATTGAAGATTTTTTATAATTTCATTTAAAAAAGATATTTAACCATTTCATTGAATAAAAAATTATGAAATTTACGTAATGCAGAGTTAAAAGAACAAAATTTTCTAAACCGAATTGAAGAAACTGTATCAGGCTGAAAGAGTTATTACAATCATGTTTGTGTTAAGACAAATGAACCCAAGTCTAAACTCCGCTATGTCTACAGTTCGTAATAAAGAGGATATGTTGGAATGAATAACAGTGTTTCAAATTGAATAGCTCTATTGCAGCCACTTTCATGAAGTTCTGTAATCGGCAATAATTAGATATTCTGTGCTGTCAACGCATAAATAGGGTTTTATTTATATTACATAATAATAATAATAATAACAGAATAAGTAAGGGTGGAATAACAACCAACTTCGGTTAATGTTTTGCGTTTTATGTTGGCAACTTCTTAGTAAATAGGATTTTGAATGTGAAGAAAATAATTCTTCCTTTGGGCGACATCATTCGCTCAAAATATCTGTTTTTTCATTGGCAAAAAATATTGTCAATGCAGTCTAGAAGGTCTTTGCTAAATATTGTTCGATGTAACAAGATAACAAATTCTCATACGCTATTTAGTGTAGAGTAGGAACAATAAAAATAGTGATTTACCACCTTCTGCAAATGTCGTTTCTGATAATTGTACTTCTGGCGTAGTTGTTCCAAATCTACCTGTGTGTGTAAAATTCATTAGTTTAAAAAAAATTGCCAATTCAGTTTAGAATGTTTTTGTTAAATATTGTTCGGGGTAATAAGATCAAATTTGCATACGCGCTTTACATCAAAAGTTGTACAGTAATTGGCGATGAAAAAGTACAATAAAAACATTTCACCTTTTCTTTGGCATATAAATGCGTGCTTCGTGCTGCAGTTAAGTATCTTCCAAACCAATCTTCCTCCAGAAGTCCAAGCTGATAGTAAACAGTGTTTCTCCAGCGGAGGATTTAGGCGACCTTCTGAATTTTGGAGTTGCTCCCCAGTGCTCCAGAATCCCGCTACTGTAACTGTTGCACCGACGTAGTAGAAAATTTCTCGACGGATATCTATAGAATGAAATGAACAATTATAAACACTAAACCTACCTTCAGTGGAAAAGAGACTTTAGCTCTGAAACGCCCCTTTCAGTTCGTTGGGAACAATCTTCTAATTATTAACATTGTGTCCGATTCATTTATAATAATAATAAATTATAGCATTTTCAAACTGACTTTGCGTGGTTGAGTAATTGTGCAATCTTCGCTTTCATTTATGAAGATTGCTAATTTTGATTTATTTTAAATTCTATCTACGCAGTTGTATTAATTCTCCTTCGAGGCAAATATTATATTCTAACAGCCATACATTTATACGTATCATATCGATGCTGTCATATATTCCTAACTTTCCATTGCCTATTACGTACGTTTTTTCAAAAAAAGACTTTTTTTGTCGGTGTTGGTAACTAAAGTTGCTCCTTGAGTTTGGCAGTAATTTTGAGCTTCTTCAGCATTTTGACGTGTTCCTTCAGAAGCAAAGAATTCCTCATCCCCGTTATTAAACCAACGTATAGGTTTTCCAGTAACTATAAAAATAAACATTTTCTGTAATGAAAAAATCTTCTATTCAAAAACAGTATAACTTTCATCTACGCTGTATAATTTTTCCATATATTTCCTATTTTAAAATATTTTATTCGTTAGCAATTTTAATACACTTAAAATATCGTCACGCTAATACCCGAATTGCGTAAGTCATTTTGACGATTTTGAGTTTTTTTATAAAATAGGTATTTATGTGATGCTGCGCACCTGTCTGTTAATTCAGATTTCAATCCGAAACCCATAAAAATGGATATTTAGTATGACATGCGCATGATGAATTATCATTGTTACCGCAGGACTATTGTGACGTCACAAAGGCAAAGTATTTTCGAGTTATTGCATCTCGGATTCTAGCTTAGCGCGTATTAATTTGAATTTATACTAAAGTATAGGAAGACGTGCACTTGTGATATTCACTGTCCGAGTCCAATTCACCTTGGTTGGCTTTTATATTGAGTGCATTGCTGTTTTATCCTTTATATTTAATCTTAGTCTTATTTCGGTGGGTGTGCAGAACGTGTTATATTGATGAAATATATATTTTTAAACATAATAAAATAATGTAATTGAAACTGATTAGCTTTTTTGGGGATTAGACATTGTAGATACTGAGAATTACATTCGTTTTTGGAATGTTTAGTTTTCAGGACTGGTACATATAGTAAAGTTGCAAAATTGCGTATGTCCCCAAGTCATAGACACGTTTCTGCCTGAGTCACAGTGCGCCATTATGACGTCACTTAACTGCATCATACAAATTAACTTAAATCCGGCTACGATAAAAAAATTGAACCATGGCAAATTATTGACTCTCTATTGCATAACAATATCATTAGAAAGTTTTTTACGTTTTTCTCGAAACTGCTAAAAATGACTTACGCAGTTCGGTTATTAGCGTGACGATATCTAGCTTCAGAAAGCTCTATGCATAGTACTTTTCTATTTTAACAGAATCTAAATTTTCAAAAAATCAAAAAATATTTTTTAAAATATTCGGTGCCATGGGCACTACATATCTTCAAACATGATTAACTCAAAATCCCTTTTTTGAAGTGTACTAAAAAAGATTTCAAAATACATGTAGTAGTATAAAGTAGTTTATCGTCATACCTTCATTAATTAAAATAGAAATTATACGTACCTTGTCCTGAGATTGTAGAAAATTGAAAAAAGAATAGCACAGTAATCACGAAGACATACATGACATGAAAGCCTATTAAACTAAAATAGCCCTTTTGTATCGAAAACAATAATATTGAAAAGACTAACTTATTCACAGAGCTTACTCGCTGCTATAATATGAAACAATGGTAATCCCTTGCCGTAAACATATTAGTCAGCCTTTTTAAAAGTGGAAAGTACAATTACTAACAAATGCCGAAGGAAGCAAGTCTATTGAAATTTATTACGTAATACACAGCGATGAAAATTGCAATATTCACTGCAATTTTGCTATGTTCAATTTTGATTACACGTCTGTATACATTCCTATGACGTCTCTAAAATTAAAAAAAAAGAAATTTTCGTCCGGATAACATTCCCTTCAAATTCCGAAATGTCGACATAAATTATCAAGGACGTTGCATATTTTGCAATGCGTCGACAAAAAAAAGTCGTCTTGTAGTACGTTATCAACAAACATTGAACAATGTTAAAGTTTCAATATTACCCAAACAAAATTGTCGACCAAAGTGATAAACGATCATATTTTATTATATTGGAATGAATACAATAAAATAAATACCATGTATTATAAAAGTAAAATTTTTTATCTTCCAAAATATACAATGACTTGCCACGGAAATCCGTAGCATTCGTAGCAAATGACTATCGTTAACCTCAAATATTTATATTCAGAATATATTCATATATCATCGACGGTCCGTGCTTTCAGCTAAAATGTCATGTGTCTCATTGAATCAGCATCGGCGCAAAATACTATTTGAAACCATTTTATAATGCAATGTTACTGAATTGTAATAGAAATATTTTTACCACGCTCCGTCTTACCTATTTTCTAACACTCAGAATAAAATTCGTTTCCTAAAGTATTAAAGGGCTTTGCGTATTCTGGCTATAGGCTACCTCTGACTGCTGAAAAGTTTTTGTATAATGGTGTTGACTGTTTAAGTCTCTTCAAAACCTTCAAATCTTCAGTCCCTTATATATATTTCCCAACTTAGCACCTTTTTTGGACAGTGATAATTCTTGGACTTTTATACTTGGAGTTTGATATAACTTGGCGTTCCAGTGCATTTATGAAGATCATAGGAACGAAATATATTTATCTTATTATATCTTTCTTTTGTCTTTTTGGCGAATGCCTTTTTCGCGAACTCTTAACATACCAGGTATAACATTCATTGTTCCAAAATTCCAGAGTACATGGGTACATCATTGCAATTTTTAACCATGACGTCAGCGATTATACAGCCTAATGTGCTATTCATAATCTCTCAGAATAATAGGGAACGGAATTACCTTTTAGTCAACACGTAGTTCATATTGCATAGAAGCAACCACATAAAAATATACAGGAAACCTTGAATAAAACAAAATTTGCCAGTTTGTTATAAAATAGGGTAGATTAGTAATCCTGGACTCTAGTCCGGTATTTTTTTAATATACGAATGTATCAATTCTTCAATCTTTATTTCACCATGCAAATCATTACAGTTAAGGTGTAATGTGTAAAAGTTTCTAACTATACGTTTTTGTTAACAGGCACTAATTTGAGTGCAAAAGTTTTCAGATGTGTTGATGAACATCACGAATTGGGAATCACCTTCGAATCGGGTACGTTCGAGGAAGTGAATGACTGCAACAATGATGCAATGTTTTATCGTAAGAATGGTGTACGCTGCGGTAACATGGCTATAGGATTTGTCGTGAATTTAGTCACTGTTTATTTGGGGTTGAACTAAGCGCATATAACGCGATTAAAGTCATTTTTATTTTATCCATTTTACAAACATATAAAACATATATATCAATTTCTGTACTATTTTATTGCAATACAATGTTTGATTTCTATCTTGGACGTGAACCAATAATTTTACTACCGGTATAATTTGAAATATAATACAGACACGAATTTGGTCACAAAAATGCCGACATTTTATGCAGTTTTCAATGTTTAGTATGATTGGAGTAAACTTAACTCAATGAAAAACAATTTTATAAAATATTTATTTTGTAAAAAAATATGACTTCAATATTTCAATTTAATATGTGACGTGGTGCCACGTATGCCAATATCTAAATATCTAAATAGGCTAAACTCGACGCTGATCTTCAGAAAATCCTCAGGTGCTTTCCAGCAATGATAGTAATATAGCTTGGTGGCTTGGTGGAGCAAAAATGAGTCTTCAGGTTTCAATGCCTAACAAGTAGAAACCTGAGCGCAATGCTTAAATAGGTAGACATGAAGGTCCAATGCCTACGCAAAAGAGACCTGGGTTACCATGGTCGCCAATTCCCAGCAATCAATTCTGCAAGAAGATAAATCTTGGAAATAATTCTATCACTAATGTAACACGTTGTCATATAAAGCGCGGATGTCAAGAGATCGCCGAGATGTGTTTTTGATTTATTTTATATGCAAACGAATGTTTCTAATCGGAATTTAATTCTTTATACGTTCCCAAGTTTTCCTAAAATTTTTATTTCAGGATCCTACTTCGGAAAACAAAACGGGAATGCATGCATTCAACAGTATTGTTTGCCGAATTACAGTCCGACTTGGATTTTGTTAATTTTATATATATATGTTCCCTGGATTGGAATTTTTTTAAATTTTGATATTTTTTGCATTTCAACACTAGAATTCTGCTCTAGAAAAACGATCGAGAAAGTATGTTTCAAACCTGCCGCAAAGGACTACCGAAAATCGCATATGTCACCCAAAAATTGTTTTTGTTTATTTATTATATGTTCCCAAAATTAGAATTATTTCAAATTTTGATATATTTTACACTCGAACATGAGAAGCGTGCTGTAGAAAAATTATCGAGAAAGTATGTTTTAAACTTGCCGTAAACGACTACAGAAGATCGCATATGTCACACTAAAGATGTTTTTTGCTAATTTATTACATGTTCCACAAATTGCAATTTTTTAAATTCTGTTTTTTTTTGCATTTAACACTAGAATTCTGCTGTGGAAAAATATTCGAAAAAGTGTGTTTCAAACTTGCCGTAAACGACTACCGAAAATTGCTATTTCACCCCCAAAATGGTTTTTGCTAATTTATTATAGGTTCCCCAAATTGGAATTATTTTAAATTTTGAGATTTTTTGCATTACATTTATAGAATTTTGTTTTAAAAATAATTGAAAAAGTATGTTTAAAACTTGCCATAAACAACGACCAAAATCGCATATTTCACCCCAAAAATGTTTTTTGTTTATTCAACATATGTCGCCAAAATTGGAATTTTTTTATGATATTTTTTGCATTACATTCATAGAGTCTTGCTTTAAAATATAATTGAGAAAGTATGTTTTAAACTTGTCATAAACAACGACCAAAATCGCATACGTCACCCCAAAAAATGTTTTTTGTTTATTTATCATATGTTTCCCGAATTGAAATTTTTTTTAATTTTGACATTTTTTGCATTACATCACCAGAGGCTTGTTTTAAAAAAATAATCGATAAAGTATGTTTTAAACTGTTGATATCTGTCATTCAGATGCATAAATGGCGTGTCACTGGACTCCCTACTAACGGTTTATTAAAATGTTTGAATTAATTGCATCGTAAATTGCTTTGTAACTGTGTCGTATGAAAAAATTGACCACAAAACTTTAGGGAAATAAATTATTGTAGTGTCTGCAGACGTTTCGTTGTGCATAGGTGCTAGGAATCGCGGCGTCGACGAGAAAGCTAATAGCGGGTTTGCAGGTAAGGCAGTGGAGGGCAGGTAAGTTGATACATATTTGAGATTTACGTCTACCAAAAATTCCATTTGAGTAATCGCCGTACTGATTCGACCTTTTTATTTATTGATACGTCTCTCACATATGATCACAGAATGATCCTCCTCGCCTTTTCCAACATAATCTTTCCAAATTCAGCAATCACTTCAAGAATGAAATAAAACGAGCCACAAATATCATATGTTACTCATTTCAAAAGATCAATAAACAATATTTGGGATAATGCAAAAGTTAAGAAATAAAATTACTCATTTAACGGAGCGATTTGCTGGGTTGTGCGCGCAACCTCTAATTTATATCCTATTTACTCAAATCGCAATAAAATGTGATTCGAAGAGATCTCCGAGCTGGTTCTGCGAGGATGATTAGCTGAGGTAAACTGCATATTATATCCTCTTGAGAGAATGGAGTCCCATCGTTCTCATTCGGAACGAACATACGGAACTAATGTGTTCTGCTTTGACATAACTCGATAACAGCCCTTTAAAAAAAACACTCCTCCATATTCATTATCTTATAGCAAATCTGTACGAGCGGTGTATTGCACATTTCTAGATCTTCCGTTTACTTCTGTCAACAAGGCATTCACCTTCCATGATATCTTTTGACGACAATTCATCTTCATCAATCGTGTCACCATTTTGAACAACGGCACAATTCTCTTCTAAGCTACAAACTTTCCTATTCTTTGCAGTGAAGAGTTTATCGAGCTGCACATCTCGGTCTTTTTGAATTCTTGAGAGAAATCTCTGTTAGTACAGGCGTAGATGTCTTTTTTTGAAGATTTTTTATACCTCACTCGGCGATACGTACGGTGAGCATAAATTCGATAAATCGGGATCAGGATTGTTATTTTTCCGGAATTGAGATGCTGAGTCAATAAACTTCGGTGTAGGAGTACAAAATTTACAGTTACAGTGCCCGAAAAAATAAACAATGTACATTGATTTGACGTTTTTCTCCAGATCTCGAGTATTGATTACTTCTGAAAAAATCAAATATCGTGCCAACATCATCACACAACTAACAGAAGGAAAGATCCTATCCCGGCCGAGTACCAGGTGGCGAATCAAATTATTGAAGTGCATTGTACGGTTGTGAGACGGGCTATATCTACTAAACTAGCGCACCAACCAACCTCCCTCTTCCCACCTAACCGTTCTTGATTTAAATCCTGTGCCGACCTTGATATTCCCGAACATCATTTAGCTCAATAAGAGCGATGTCTAACTTGTTTCATCAGAAAGTCTACTGCTGATGGCTCTTCTTCACCATGTCCCGCGTTCAATTGTTTTTTGCAATATTTTTAGTTGAGAAATTGTAATATATCCACTCGAAAATTTTATGTATTGCTCTTCTGTAAGT